ATTTGTTACCAAACACACGCAGACCCACATCGAACATTATTTCAGTTGGCAATTTGCGGCTAATTCACTCAATTACAAAATCAAACGATGATTAAGTACAAGCCACCATATAAAAGTTTATATAAACAAACAGAGAGCTTGGAGGGGCAATCATCAGTTTATCAATAAATATATATGTATCTCTGGGCAACATCTGGGGGCACTGGGCAAACGGTTTTCAATTAAGGCAGCGCCGCTTCGCGTAGAATTTAATGTGAAGAATTTCATTTATCGAAGTTGAGCAACGAACCAACGCGGAAGATACGACAGAAACTCAGATACACTTCGATCGTGCCGCGAATGCTGAATGTACGAGTGACAACTTACAGTACGAGTATCTATTGGATACTTGTGCTCGGGGAGTATGACTATTGCCAGTCAAACGGCGCGAACGACTAGCAAGCAGGCGAAGCAAAGCAGATGACGACCGATCGACGATCAACCGGCTGACTGAGTGGCGACTGAAATGCCAGCCCCCCTCAAGATATCCGACGCTTCTCCATCCCCTTCGATCAATTACGCTGCACTTTAGGTTGAGTTTCGTTTGCTGCTGGCAGTGCTGCTGCTGCAGCGAAGTTTACCGGCTTGCTCTCTCTTTCTCTGTCTCTCTCACTGCTCGCTCGCTCTCTTGCTGTTACGCTCTCTCAGCTCGCTCGCTCTCTGTGCAAACAGCTGTTTTGGACACTTGTGGCTTGCGGCTGTGGGTTGGGTATATCCAAAGGCAATTAGCCACGCTCGTTTCCGTTGCCATTGCCTCTTGACGTTTGTTTACTTATGTTTTCTCACTCGCTCTCACTCTCTTTTGCTCGCTCTCTGTCTCCAACACACCCCTCTCTCATTGTCTTTCTGACGCTTTCGTGCCGGGTTGACTCAGCGCTTTTTGGCGTGCTATCGCAGCGGATACGGAATATGATTGGCATAGAGTTACGTTTACCCCTAGGTTGCCAAGGCATGGAGGTTGTTGATTGAATTCTGATATGACTGCGGCTGGGGACTGGGGCTTATAAACATAAGGCAAGATGGACATTTTTGTGGCATGTCTCATATACACAGACTTGTAATTAGTTTAACTCAGCTTTTACCGTGTAACTGTTTTGTTAATAATAATTCTTTTGTAATATTACTTAATGTGTTTCAAAATATTATCTGATGGGCTATTCATTTCCAGAAATTTTAATACAAGTTTGTATGATATTTTTACTACTCTTTGGAAAAGTTTTGAATTATAATTTCAAGCTTGGAAACTTTTTTTATGAACATACATTTGGTATCATCGTCAAATAATATCCAAACGTCTTTCAGATTAATTTATTTGTATGGTACTATTTTATAAGTATAAACCTGTATATTATAATAAATAAATATACTATATAAATACAATAATATTTTTTTTTTTGCATTTCATCCTAATTAATCTTTCTTTTATATAATATCCATATTTTATGTGCTATTTAAATGTACCTCAACTCATTAAAATTCTCTTAAAAACTTAATAAATTACATTTTGTTATATTATTGAATAAATGTTGCATATTCTCTGTAACTTAAAATATTTGTCAAATAAAAATAGCATTGACTAAAAATGTGATAGTAATGTTTGTATAGTATTAACTCGAATCTCATTGCCGAAATCATTGAACACTTTGCTCCAGACTCCATCAGCAGTCTTTGGGGCTTAACGACAGCTCTCCTATCATGGCCAAACCCATTCCAAGTTGCTCTCTATATATTTTTTTCTAACACATTTAATGCCCAAGCTAAGTCCAAGCTGCGTGTGTGTACTCACTTGACAAGATCGCCACGACCTAAAAGGTTTCGAGAAGCGAGCAATTAGCATCATAGCTAGAAAAAAACACGAGCTGGTGAAGTGTATCTTGCTGAGTGTATCTTGAAGCTAAACGAGCGATCACGTTGGAGCAGGCAGCGCGAAAATCAATTGTAATGGGGAAAGACTCCGGTTCGAGCTGAGGAAAAACATAGAAAAGCGCTTTGTTTGCACAGACACACAGACTCGACAGAGAGACCCGCAGAACGTTTCATAATTGAATCGAAAAGTGTGCTAATGTGACCAGTAGAAAACTTAAATTGCAAACATGAAAATGCATTTTGAGATGTAAAGATACCGCCGGCATTCCTCGGGGGGGTATCAAAAATTGATGCGACGCTGTCAGCGCCTGACAATTTAGCAAATGAACAAAACCATTAATATGAAAGGCTAACAGGAAAAGTAATAAAATTTGTGGCCATAAAAAAATACGGAACAAGTGTTGCTGCACATAGATCTACTTGCATTTTGCACGCAGCTCATTAATTTAAGCAAAAGAGAGACAGACACAGGAGGCCGTCTAAGGCAGAAAGAGATGCAAAGATGCCTGACGATCGAATCGAATCGTATCGGATCCAAGTCAAGCCAAAAGGGCAGGCTAAAAGGCGGACAGCAACAAAGACGAAGACAAACGAAAGGCAAAAGCAGCCAAAAGTATTTAGAATTTCTGGCATTTTGTCAAGTGTCGCCAAAACATTTCGCACGACACGCACTGGCAGCGGGGAACAAGAAAGAGAGAGAGAGAGATGGAGGCAGCGGGAGAGAGAGAGTGAGTGAGATATTTATATGGGCAAGTCCGAGGAAAGAGACTCCCTGTACTTGTTGCATTTTGTGTGAAATTTGTGTGGCATTTGAAAATGTTTGGCATTTGTTTTTGGGTGATGATGCTACACAGTAAATACGAGTACATCAATTTTGCTAGGAGAAGGCTAAAACAACTTTGTTATGAGGCTTGAAAAACAGGGGAAAAACTGGAGATGAGAGCAGAGAAAGTGACTAAAGGAATAAATATATATACGATTATTTTCGCATTCAATTTTCTTAGGAAAGGTTTATTTGAGTGGAGCATGCAAACTTTTTTCTATTTTTGATTATTGATAGGGCTGCTTGTCATATCTTTATTTACACTTTTGATCAGTTTGTTTGCAATACTTTGAGTGCAGCCATCAATTAATTTTGTTGCCAATCAAAAATCAAAGACAAATTTGGGACAATGTCCCGACGAAGCATACATTCTGCGACTCATTGAACGTTGGACACTTTATCTCGAATTTTGTCAGATTATTTTGTTGAAATTGCAAATTATTGAATTAGCAAACAGAAAAACGAACACTGAACCGATGAAAGGAGAGAGCAGAGAGGCACAGAGAGAACTGTTGGTAGCAAAATGTGATTCTCAACCGACTCGCGTAATGCACGAGTGAGTGACAATTTTTCGTTAATTTACCATACAATTTCTGTGTGTTACGTATTTTTAATTTTGTGATTTATTTTCGTCATGCGTACACGAATACACTTTGAGGCAATCGAACACATAGCAACAACACAACAACAACACACTAACAAGGCAACAGACAACGAGAGGCACAAATTAGAAATTATTTTTTTGTCTGCCTTTGCCACTGCTGCGCCACTTGTAGACAATTAAAACAGAAGGAAAGCATGTATGGATGTCCCTGAGAGGAAGCAAAAGGAAAGAGAATGAATGGGGAAAGGTAAGGAAAGAAAAGGGAAACAGAAAGGAGACATAAAGGGGGAAAGAACAGCACAACAATCGATGGACGACAACTGCGTCCCAATCGTCCATTGAGGTGAATGCAAGCGATGCCCCTTAACATTTCCGCTGCATTCGAGCAATGCCAAGAACAACAACAAGAAAATGCCAAAGAGCACACACACAAACACACAAGGACACGCACATGTCAAAGCGGAAACAGAAACGCAGTGTATAAGTGCTGCACCTCCTCCTGATGGACATCCTCTGTGCCTTGGCAAAAAGGCACAATAACGATTTTCCGATTTAAATTCCATGCGGAAAATGTGTACATAGGGGAAGTGTCTTCCGCGCCCCTTGACTGCCAGGAATGGCAGGGCAGTCGTCGGTTTTTGCATTCAAAGATTTGCCTTTGAGCAGGTTGCAAATCTTTAGGGATGGGCAAGGAAAAATGTGCCACTGAGCGCATATTTTTCTATGTGGAAATTGTCTTAGATTGCTATGGGTTCTTGATTTTAAATATAACTTAAACTGAACCTAAGGTAGTACTGGAAAGGAAACATAAAGCTCTGTCAAGTTTCCTAGAGTCCATTTCTGTGGTTTTAATCCATAAATTTGTACAAAAAAATATGTGCCACCGTTAACTATTATCCCTGACTTTCATTTAAATATTCATTCATTCATATTCATTCATATTCATTCATTAAATCGAGTTGAGCACTGCGAAACGGGCAGTCAATCCTTATGGTTTCAATACCTTATTTTGCGTGCCACTAGATTCAGGGAATGCATTCGAATTCAAGGAGAATCTTCATGAAAATTATGCCTTGGCTTTCTTTTAAATATTTTTAAAATATTTCTTAAATATTTCCATCTTTTCCTACACCCAATCCTAGTCGTTTCCGCATTTTTAATCATTTTTTATGCATCTTCTTCGCCGGGTTCTCTTTCGGTGTTCTTTCTTTTCAGCACATATCCTAATCGATTTATTGGCTACACACAAAACCATACAAATGCAGCAGGAACGACTGTCGGCAGCAGTCTGTATCCCTCCCTTCCACACTTTCATCCTGTCAGCATTGGGGCATTATTCATTTTCATTGCCTCATTCGCCAGTGCCAGTTCTCTCTTTTTCTCTGTGTGTGTTTCTGTTTTGTGTAATCAAATACAGATACCAACTGCGGCTGCTGCTGCTGCAAGTTTCTGATTAAGCCCAAAAGGCGCTCCCACATAGACTGTTGTAGAGGAGGAGAGACCCGACTCCACACATTTATGGCGGAGAGACAAGCAATCAGCCCACACACATACGTAGAAGGGACTAACTGATAGATATACAGTCAGATGGACAGACGGACATTCAGACGAGACTTAGCTGTGACGGCAGCAAATATGCTCCAAAAGATGTTCTAAAGAGGAACTTACCATTTCGGTTCTCACTGTCCGCGGGCTTCATTTGGATGGGATGGTGCATCTGTCAAAAGAAAACGAAAAAGACAGAGAATAAACAAGAGCAAGGGAAAGTGGCAATAAGTAAGGGAAATATAGCAAGGAGTAATATTGTAAGCAATAAGTTGGAAAAAGTATGCGCGATTTTCTATATAGAAAGGGGGATATGGCTTATGGGTAGGGTTTACCATTTATGTAGTCAACAAATTGCAGGTATATGATAAAGGGATTCATTGGAGACAAAATGGGATAAATCCAATTAATGAAATCGGGAGTGACTTTTGTAAGAGATTTTAGCTGCATGTTGGGAGTTCATTATCGGTAGGGCTATTTCATAATTAATATAAATATTCATAAAGTTATTAGATACATTTTTAGAAAAAAAAAGAATACGAAAGGGAAACCTAAGAACTTAATGGAATATTTGTATTCGAATTTCCTTCGGCACCCAGTTTCTGGCCCCTTCTCTGGCCATCTTCATGGCTCTGTCCTTGGACATGTTTTTGACTCTGTCCCTAGCTCTGTCCCAGGCACAGGTCCCAATCCCTGGTTCTGCCCCTCATCCATTTTTGTACCCAATTGAGCCTTGACTCCCTTCCCCACTTAATTCGTGGTGCTGTCCAACTACAACAGCTTTTTTCCTTCATTACTTTTTCATGTACAAAAGTGTTTAAGTATTTTTAGATTTCATTACGAACGGACTTTGCACAAGTGCAACATGTTTGCAAGAATGCAGAGAAGAGAACAACGGAGAGCTGATGGCAGCAAACAGCAAAAGAGAAAACACAAAGAGAAAGTGGAAGTGTGGAAGAGTGTGGAGGCTGGAGGGCCAAATGGGAAGCCATTTCATTAACGTTTGGCCATTAGCACTTGAAAAATGCAATTGAATGGCGAATGCTTTTAACAAATTTTCATTTATTTTACATTCATTGAGGCAACCCGATGATAAGGTTCGATGAGGAGTACTGCCAGTGCTGTGAAGAGTCTTGCTGGGTGGCTGGGTATCCTTGCTGGCCATTACTTTGATTTCAATTAACTTCTCATTCAAACGTTTCGAGCAGCGGAAATGATAATAATAATAATAATACTTACAACGATATTAGAAAATGGTACTTCAATTCGAAAGAGTGGTAGGAAGAGCAGGCAAAGAGAGCGGAGAGCGGAGAGCGGAGAGGGGGAGAGCGGAGGCAGAGACAGAGCGGGGAGGAGGTGGAGCCGGACACGAACAAAGTGACTGACTGAATGATGTTCAGCAAATTGAAATGAAATGCTTACGGGTTGAGGCAGACAGGGCAGGAGTCGAAGCTAGGAGGAGGAGCAGGGTCAGATGCAGAGCTAGCACCATGCCAGCGCAGAGTCAGAAGCAGTAGCAGAACCCGTAGCAGTCCTAAACCCTGCCTCCGTCTGGTACTGTGAAAGTCAAAAGGTTTCTGCACAAATTACGAGAAAAATGTCACCGCCTCTGGTGCTTCTCCCTAAACCTCTTCCCCACTCTAGTCCGGACTGATTGTTGCGCCATTTTGCTGCTCTATTATTCAAAATTGACAGCTGAATGAGTAAAATGGCCACGACAGTCGTCATCCCCTTCCTGCCAAACGGTTCTCAGTCCCAGTCCAATTGCTCTTTTCTGGTTGCGCTGAGAGTTTTGTCCGTCTATCTATGTAGCAGTGTGTGTGTGCATATGTGTGTTTATTTGCGTCCAGTTAAATCCCGTCCTGAGCCTTACCCTTTGCCCCACTAATGACATCGCGTCTATAAGTTGATTTCTCAGGTGTTCTTTTTTTTTGCCATTTGTCAATTAGCTTTGACAATATTTGGGTTTAGTTTGGACACTGCGATAATTGCCTGGGCCAAGAAATTTGAAAGAAATGAAATTAGAAATAAAAATTAAATATGCCGCTTTCATTTTGACTTCATTTTGTGGCATCAATAATTCAGGGCATACTTTCAGGCCGTGCCACACAAAAAAGTGGTCACTGCTATTAAGGTCTCACTCACTCTCACTTGCGCTGTCTTTGCTGGCGCTTGTCTGATGTGTCTCTCCCTTGTTTTCTTATTTCCTTTCTGCAAGTGTAGCCGTTCACACGTGCCCCAAAAAAAGCGAAGAAGAAAAAAGGATCCATAGGCCACTTAGCACTAGGAGAAAGAGAGCGATGAAGAGAGGAGTGCAGCAGTTCACTTCAACACTAAATATTTATTGTAGCTGAGCTTCCCACTCTCTCCCTGTCACTCACTCTCTCTCCCTCACTCTCCCTTGCTCTCTTTGTGTGTGAAAATGTCGACATTTTAACGTCTGTTTACCTATCGATTATTTCAGGTAAATTAAGTAGCTTCGGCCGGGCAGGACGTGTAGGTGGACGTTGATGTACGACATCAACAACGATGTCCTTTCTGTTGAGGGCCGCCTGCCAAATGCATTAAAGGATCAGACATGCCCCCACACACATATACACAAAATCCTACATAGCTGGACAGCCAGCCACTTACTTATACAAACAAAGATCCACCTTACACACACACACCCATAACCACACACATGTATGTGTGTGTGTGTTGGGGTGTTGCTGGGGGCATGTGGTCATTATTTTGACAATTACACACGTGGCGCCATTTGGCTCAGGCACAGGTCCAGCTCGGGTTCCTGTTACTGCCTTGTCCGCACACACACTTCTAGCCACTGCCACTCCGCCTCCCACCTATACCTACTCCTCCGCCTGACCCCATTCCCCTATCCAAGTTTCATGTGTATTTGGGCGGCTTTGTTTTAGTGCAGGACGAGAACGTTCCTATATGGATTTTCCATTAACAATTTGAATATGTAAATGATGGAGAGCCAGTCAGCCACAGTGTGTACGAGCTCAAGCAAATTTGAAACCAACAGTTTTATTTTGGTATAAAATAAACTATTTGAAATTTTTGGATTGGAAAAGATCAATTTTAAAATTAACACATTAGGTAACATTTTATTTTACTTGCTTCAATTTTATGTTGATTAAATTGTAATTAAATCTACAACAAAAAACATCCAAAAAATAAATTGCACAATTTTAAACAAATATTTGCAGGCTCCCCTGATAGAGTGATACATTTGTATAGATATTTACAACCCACTCAAAAAAATCTTCATTACTTTAATTTTGAAATTTTGTATTACTTTTTCAGTTCAGTTGAAAAGGTGACTACCCGGGAATCACACAAGATAACCTCAAAGGGTAAGTTTTAAATATGTATTCATTATGTAGCTTAAACATTTTTGTTGGGTACACGTCTGGCACAATTTTAGTTGTGTTTAATAGAATAGACCCTTACATTCTCCCATTCCCGAAACGATATATCTGCTGTCTTATTTTCATATATTTTTAAGCAATTTATTTCTGCTTTCGTCTATTTTTTTTTGCATTTAATTCACGACTTTTTTTATATATTTTTTATATCAACCTTTTTTTGTATTTTTGTACCAAAGCATTCAGCATTAATATACTCTACCCCAGCACCAAATACCCTTAATTTTGCACAACTTTCAACCTACTGTGCAGCGGCACATGAGCTCTATGGGGTACCAGTATCGGTGCCTTAGCTGCAGCTCCCTGCTTCTCCCCAGCTGTCCATCTTGTTGTATGTTTACTTGTGCGTGGAACGCTTCATTTAATACGTTAACAATGAGATTGTCCTCAATAATTGAATTCACTAATTGACTGATGATTACATTTTGTGTTTGCCATATAGCAATAGTGCCCAATAGGAGCCAGTACCCTTTGTACCCCCCCAAAACCATGCATGGAAAGTGTGTCATCGATCGATCGATCGAACAAATCGGGACGCAAGCAGTTGACTTTCTCAAGCTTATATTATTCACAAGGGGCGGGCGGCGCACACACAAACAGTAAATAGAATTTATATATACATATACGGGGGCAGCAGCTACAAGAAACACACACACATACGCACATAGATACACTCCCACATACACATATATTAAGAAACTTATGGAAATACATTCACAGAGAGAACAAGGAAAAAGAACGGGCAAAGAACTCAAAGCTATATAGATGATAGGGGGTGGATATACTGAGTGGTTGCTTAGGGTGGGGTGGTGTGATTGTACTTACCCCATCCAAGGTCTTGATGTTGTGCAATGCATCCTGGGCGCGCAGTGCCGCCTTTCGGGTATAATAGGTGACAAAACAGCACCCTGCAAAACGAAAATGAAACAATCGAAATACATATCGAAATACAAATCAAACGAATCGATAGACAAGTACACAAGAACGATAGTTATGGATACAAAAAAACGATTAATAATAGTTTGTACTGGCTATGCATACATATGTACTGGAACTTTTTTATGAAAACTAAATATTATTAATGTGGGACAATTACACAAACATTTTATTTAGTTTTTTATTTTAGCACTTTTTTGGTGGCGTTTTAGCATGCAGCTGAGCTAAGTTGTTCTTCTAATATATAGATATATATATTTAGATATAGGTACAAGATTGTATGGTACAATTCTTGTCATGCAGTTTACTGGACATTCACGCAAGCAATACAGCAGGTCGTTGGGCGTGGGGCGGTTCAAAGAGAAATGGACAGAAATTATATGGTGTACAGGGAGTACTATATATGTACATATAGCTTAGGTTATAGCTTAATACCCAAGCGGTAAGAATAATATTTGTGTGGTATTATATTCCACCTATAAATGCACAAAGAAACTTTCTTAAAAGAATACACTGCTTCATAAGGCTACAATTCTGTTGAAGCTAATAGCGCCTGCTCAGTTCTTAGTTCTATAAAACCAAAATTGTTGTTTTCAAAAATGTTTCTATATTTTCTATACTTGCTTTTTCTAAAGACATGAACTTGGTTTGTGCCATCTCTTCTCTGCCTGAATTGTTTATGTATACACTTCCCTTCCTCTTCCCCTTATTGACTGCTTTATCTGGGCACCAAGTAAACCCTTCATATGTCTCTTTAATTTCTTATCGGAATATAAGCAACAAAATTTAATACAAATATTTAAAAAAAAGTTTCTTAGCAATTCACTGCACTGACTGACTGCTTTTGTTCTAATTTTATACACCATTTTCTCTATCTATGTAGCTATCTATCTATTGCATTCCATCTTGGACACTTTGATTTCTTCTATTTCAATATATTTCTATCTATTTAACTGTCTGTATATAAATGTGGATTGCTATCTTTTAGGAAATACGAGCCAATATTTTGAACAAGTTGTTCAATATTTGAACTTTATTCCAAGCAGGCAGTGCATCCGGCTGCCTTTGATTATTTCGATTACTCTTATCTTTTATCTACGCATAAAAAAGTTATCTATAAACCATATTTCCAACTTATTTTGTTCCGTTTGTGCAACAAAAATATCTTCAAGTATTGCTTTTCGGTCATCCTTCATATCAATTTATTCGTATCCATTTATCCACTTCTCCATAAGTTAGATTCAATTATAATCCTCCCTTCCACCACGAACACCTTAACTCATTTACATCTGTCCCCCGATCATCTCACTTGCTCCTCTAGACCATAAATATGCATAATGGAATTTACCTTTTCGCTTTTTCGGGCAAAAGTTTGCAAGCAAATGCGCATATTATTCTGATACAGCCCAGCCTGTCCCGAAAAATTAACCAGAGCAACAACCAGGACACAAACACACACACAAATACACATATGCTGCATCCCCTGTGTGTGTGTGTGTGTGTGTGTGTGTGTATGTGTGCAAGTTTTTGCCGCTTATACACGCACAATTATGGCCAATTCCCACGTGGGGAAACTTTAGCCATGAGACCCACAACAGAGCCCAGAGGTAGGAGTAGCACCTGGACCCTCACAACTTTTAATGTTTGCTGGGCTCTCGCCATCAGCATAATCATATTACTTGATGTTTTTAACACCCTGACAAAGGGGAACCACCCAAAAAAATTGATGAACATTGTAAAATTTCATTGGATACCCGGAAATAATTTGCACATTTGTATGCCTCTCGACTCACCTCTGCTAATCGATGTGACCTTATCCCTAAGCACATTCAATGTGTGCACAGGTCCAAACTGCTCGAACATTTGACGGAGTCTCGTCTCATCCCATGTCTTGGGTATTTGGCCCACAAACATTTTAATATTATCAGCATCCGGCTGATCCTTTAACATTTCGTTGCCGTTTGTGTCCATGACATCCAGATCGGGCTTCAGATCATCCTCCATGGGACTGGACAGGCTGGAAGAGAGGATAAACATAGAATTAGTTAAGGAACCAATTATAGTATTAATCAGAGAACAATTTAAAGTAGAGTCATTTCCATTTACATTTATAAAGTTTTTTCACAAAATTAATTCATTACGAATCTCTTTCTCATTGAACTTTTATGGGCAACAAACTGTTCCAATTTTCTCTTTTATCTGGGTCTGTAACTGGTCTTAACTTCATTTGCTAATTACGATAAAAAACAGACAACAAAAAGTCTCCTCTCTGCTTTCCCTCTGCTGTCAAGCAGTTCCACGCTTGCCACTCTGCTCTGTCTCTCTCTCTACCAAACGTTGCCTAACTGCATAAAATACAAATACTAATTGTTATTAGCAAACTAATCTAATCTAAAAAGTTGTAAACGTATTTACTTTTGTTTTGTGGTTGACCAGACTCTAACTGGGGGGAACTGCTAGGAATGTCCTGGTAATGGACCTGCTGGGGTACGCTTGTCCTATGCCTGAATGACTGACTGGCAAACGAACACATCGAACGCTCTACTTTGAGGTCACTTTCGGGTTGGGTTTTTGTGTACAAACTGCCCAGAAAAAGTTGTACCAGCGAAATGTCATTATTGTTGTTGTTTCTAATGGGTCAATGAGGGGGTTTACTGCGAGTTTATTGGGTGTTCTTGATGGTGTACCAAATTGACTTTTGGTTGCTTGTCAAGTTACTCGGCAAAAAGGGAGCTCTGCTGTCGCTGATGTCAAGCAGAGTGGAAGGGAGTTTTCTTGATGCTGCTGCTGCTGACAAGCAGTTGGGAAGAGATTTACGCTGCAGCTGTTATTTTCAAGCAGTAGAAATGGGAGTTCCGTTCCTGTCTAGCAGCTGACCCAATAAATTTAAGCACTTAAATGACTTTGACTTTGCCTTTTGGCGAAGGGCATGCCGCCAAGTGGCATTGTTTTATTGCTATGCAAATTCCTACGTATTAATATTTCCATTGCATACTTTTTGGCCGACAATTGATATGCTGGGCTGGTGGGATTAGCTATATTATTAAGAGCTATCTGATGTAGAGTCATCTGAAATAATGGCATTTAGGAAATTACTACCAATTTACTTTTAAATTTCTTCATTTTTCAATTTCCTGCGTAAGTAATTCTTATGGCCCCGTACTCCTCCGTTCTGGTGGCTATGAACTGCCAGAATTACAACCCCCTGGCGTGGCATGGCAGGGATGACAACCCTCCCACACTTAGTAAAAGCGAAGAGCTAATGCTGCTGCCGCCGCGAGCCATCAAATGACAAATCGAAATTAATCTGTTAGAGCCGAGAACGAGAAAGCGCCAAATTGTCTATGGCAAGGTGATAAATTCAGGCCTGCCTGCCGCTAGGCTCGAGCTCCACGAGGAATATGCAAAGGAGCAGGCAATATTGGGGGGTAATCCATCGTTCTGTGCCTGCTGGCATAAATCTCAAAAACGGGAAACATTTACGCATTTTCTCAGCCAATTGCGTGCGTGTTGCCAAATAAAATAACAACAGAAGAGAAGCAGAGTGGCAGGGGTAGCAGTGGGGAAAGAAGTAACGAGGAGCTGTAGAAACTCCCTGCAATAAAGTAGCAGCGACAGGTGTGTTGCCCCTGGAGTCTGTAAGGCAATTATTTCTGCCCTGCCGCCAATCCATCGGGGGAAAGAACGAGATACCCCGAGCCAACTCAACTTGCCAGGATTCAGCCTCTCAGAGCTGCTCTCAGAGCCTCACAGTACATCTCCTTGGGTGTCTCTCGGGGCTGCGCTTGTGCATTAATAATTCAGTTTCATTTAAATGCGACCAGGCTTAATGAGAAAATCGCCTGCGGTGGCAGCTGAAGCCTGGCAGAGGGGCAGAGGGGCGCAGGAGCGGCAGAAGAATTTTCCACGCTCTCTGTTGGGATTTGGGTGGTAGGACAGCAGGTGTTTGACTGGGCGGAGCATGACAGGGAACGGCAGGGCACACAGGTGATGATGATGATGACGATGACTATGTTGGGTATCGCCAGCTCAATGCGCATTCAACAACTTGAGTGAGGAAAGCACGCTGTCATGGCACAGTGGCTGCAAGTTTGATAAAAAATGTGAGCTGGAGCTGCAAATTTCTTTGTGGAGTGCCTTCCATGGGGTGCTCCTATATGCTGCTTATAGGAACTGCTTTCAGGGACTGCTTTCACAGATACGCTGCAACCACGTTTGTAATACATCCTCAGCCCGCTTCGATGAGCTTCTTCCATACGCTGCTTCAATGAAGTTCTTCCACAGTCCCTTCCAATGTGATTACTCTGAAAATTTCTCAATTTTTCTACCCCAACACGCACTGCTTAACGTACCACTGTGAAATGGCGACACAGTCAGGATAGGCCAGTCAGTCAGTCAGATGACGTGGCAGCACTTAATTTATGATGGCAGTTTGTTATGCCGCGGCTGTCACAACAAAAGCAAACAGCTCAAAGATAGAGACAGGCAACAGCAACAAAAAATAAATACAAGAAGTGGAGAACTGGAGGATTGGAGGACTGAACCCAGCGAAGCATAAAAATGACCCAACATAAATTTAAAAATTCTTGCTTTATTATTTAATAGTCAAGTGGGAGAGCAGGAGGATGCGCTTTCCTAGGGCTCATAGTTGACGGCTCAGACCAGACCCAAGCCTGCGGTATTACTACCACTGGAAACAAGTGGACACAGACCCAGACCCAGACCCAGACCCTAACCCTCCCCCTGCCTGTTCGTTATCATCATTACGAAGATGCTATTAGTATTATAATTACAATGTCCTGTCAATTATCATTCGCTATTATCTTTGATGACTTTGGCTATGTGAAAATTGTCACCTTGATGGCTTCTGCCAATTAATAACCTTAATGCAATGCCAATTATCATTAGTCAGTCGATGGCTGCTGCCCGAACTACCCTTCATATTCCTCCCTCCCCTGGTGCCATTATCACTTATTTTAATTAAATCAGTCACCAAGCAAGTGGGACGGCGCTCGTCCGCCCAACGATTTTCAGTCGAATTTTTATAATTTCCGGGCAGAGGAAGCGCCACACAAATAGAAAATGTGGCGCACGTCCGAGGAATAACCATTCGAAATGTGATAGCTAAAAGATGTCTCTGAGGGGAGAGCTGTAGATGGCGGCTATAGGAAATTGAAATGTTCCATAACGGCTGCCAGGTAATATGCAAAAATGATAAGCGCTGAAGTTGAACGACGGAAAATGCTTGTAAATGTTATGGGGATGGAGATTTTTGAAAAGATTTCGATGATGGACGGGTCCTACAAGGCAACTGCGGAATATTTATTAGACTTCCAGCTTTAACGATGCGTGGAAAATGGAATTCAATGCTCAGGAAAATTAAGCAGGTTATGGGATAAGGGAGGGCTTCAAAGTGCGTTTAGAAATTAAGCAGTTTATGGGTGGAAGTTGGGCTTGAAACTGTACTTAAACCAAAAATTACTAATGACTTGTAGAACCCAACTAAAACAAAGTCCGATAAATCATTTGAATGCCGGGTAACAGTTGCACAAAAATTGAGTATATGGAGGCAACTCTGCTTGTGGGTGGAGGCTTGCAACACTCACCGATTTGCTGCAGAGATGGCTGGGGCAGCGGCAGCCACGGTCAGGCTATGGTCGACTAATGAACTTCTGGAATTAATGCCGGAATTCAGCTGCGATGACGTTGCTGCTGCAGTCGCTGCTGCTGCTTCTGCTGTTGTTGCGGTTGTTGCGGCTGCTGCTGCTGTTGGTATTGTTGCTGCAGGGACTGCTTGCGCTGCTTGTGCTGCTGCTGGAACGTTCTGCAGCGTTGCTGCTGTTGTGCTGGAATTTATTTGGTTGTGTAAAAGTGTTTCCAACAATGCAGTCGACATTTTTGTTGTAGCTGCTGTTGCTGTAGTAGATAATGCTGGCAGGAGGCTGTTGCTGCTGTTGGTGTTGCTGTTGTGCCGCAAATATGGATGAAAACTTTTTGCAGCACCTGTAAAAGTGGTTGTCGCTGCAATGGCACCTGAAGTAGGTCCAGAGCTCGTTAGATTCTCTAAATACTTGACTGGCTGTGGATGTAGTTGTAGTTGTTGCTGCTGGGATTGTTGCTGCTGCAACTGTTGCTGTTGTGTCTGTTGCTGCTGCTGTACGTTGCAATTGTTATTGTTATTTAAATTGTTATTGTTATAAAGGATATTGTTGCTGTTGCCGTTGCTGTTGCTGCTATTGTTGCCATTAGCAATAAGTGCAACAGGTGTCGTTGTCAGCATTGTTGTTGCTGGTGTTGCTGCTGCCTCGTTAGTTGTTTCTGTTGCCACTGCCTCTGCTGCTGTTGCCACTGTGCCTGCTGGTATGCTGCTCAGTGTATCCGCATGCAGATTCAAGGATTGCAACATCATTTATAACAGTTTAGCTCGGGTTTTATTACCGAGCAGGAGGGGTCGGTTGTCTCTGTCGCTGTACTTGTCCCTCTGTTTGTTTGTGTTTCCCTGGGTCTGCTTGCTCGCTAATTACTTTTAGTGTCGCATTTGGCGCTCGCTCGCTTTTTAATTTGCTTCGGGTTTTAGTTTTATTAAAATTGTATATTATTGCGCACTGGGAGGGTCTCCTCGCTGCCTGTTTTACTCCTTTATTATTTTACTTTTACGCGCTCTCGCTTTGCTTATCACAGTTTTTACGCTCACAATTAGCTGCACAGGATTCGTTTTTGACACTCCGTTTAACAGTTGAGCGCTCCAATGGCAATTGCCTTTAAAATAAAGAGGAACGAAAAGATGTTTGATTATTAAAGAACGTGGAGAAAATAGTAGTAAGAATATTTATAAATTATTTATATCATAATTTTATTTCAAAATGTATTGATTTCAGCTCAAACTTCATTGATTTAACCACAGAGAATATGCATTGTTGGACCACTAAAAACTTCAAATATATCCTCAAAATTCTTTTAAATTTTCATTGCTTTAAATTCGCTTGTGCCCCGAAAAGGTGCATCCTACCAAGTGCCCTGCAAATATTTATTATTAGTAGTTTAAGCATCCACTAGAGAGACCACAGTCAAAATGGCTGCCAGCGCTTCAGCCTATAACCAAAGTCCCAACACTCTGGTTGATCCAACTGCATTCTGGTGTAACTGCATAGCTAAGCGCATTTCAATGCAACTGCCGGACTGATAGACTGGCTGACTGACTGACAGGCAGACTGACCGCAGTACTTGGCCGTCACTCCACCCCACTCGACTCTCTGACTGTCTGCATTGAAGTGCCTCTGCGTGGGCTTTGATACAACACACACACACACACTGCCATATATGACTATATATCTATATCTATGTCTGTATCTGTATCTGTATCTACCGCTAAGCAGATAAGCATTTCAAGTGCTCACACACAAAGCTGGACTGAGTGCTGCTGCTGTTCTGCCGCATAATGTTGAAGGCTCTAGCTAATTAGTTAAATTGAAATCAAATTATTTGTTGTCGCACTTGACTGACCACAGGCATGGGCGCCTTAATTAACGCGCTTGCACACAGACACATAGTCACAGATACAGTTTGGATATTCCGAGGGTCAGTTGTGGGATGTGAATGGACAGGGGTAACAGAGCAAGAAACTTGGAAGCAAAGCGATTAGCCATTAGCCTTATTGTGCTATGTATACCAGTCCAAACTCAAAAACGAAAATGGCAGTCATCTGTAGATGTTAAAGTGCGGCCTTGGAGTTAAAGTTTGACAATATTTGGGACTACTTTTGACTTTACGAGTAACCCCAGGAAGAGCATCACAGAAATGTTGAAATTTTTAATTATATTTAGATATTTTTACCATTAATTATGTTGATATTGAAATGAAAATATTTTATGTATTTGTATTTGTATTGTAAATGTATTTATCGATAACTTAATTGTTTCTTTAGGAATTAATTAAACTTTGGATTGGAATTGCCTTTGCTATAGCATAATGTACTCTCCCTTGTTTCACATCTTAAACTTCATTAAAATCGTCTCAAACTTCATTTTCACTTAAGTTCCAGTTCTTTTCCTTAATTGTTTCACAGCTTATACTTTCTTGATCTCGTTTTAAACTTAATTTTCATAAATTTTTCATTTTATTTCCAAATTATTTCCTATTTTCTATCTTAGCACTCCACTTCCGACTCTTCTTTGACTTTTTTTCCACCTTAATCTTAAAGTGTTGCCTTAGCACACACACTTTTCGCTCTCCTCTGCTCTGCTCCCCCCAAATTTTCCAGAAAGTCGCCACGAAATTCGCGCGTTTTTCTATTATTTTTTAATACATTTCAACGCTTGCATATTTTTGCTCGCGCTTCTATTTTTCACTTATTTATTTTTGCTTTTGCTTTTTTATTTGTGTTTCTTGTTTGTGTTTTTTATTTCTTTTGGCTCCGTCCGCACCTCTTGGCCGGACACTGGCAACTGTCGTTGTCCCCATCATCCGCATCGTTGTCGTGCCATGAAACGCTTGTTGCATCCACCTCAACACCCCCAACCCCCTAGTCAAGCCAGAAGTCGGGGTGGGTGCCACGGGGCTAGCTGAAACAAGCGTGTTATGAAGGCAGCAGCCAACGGTTTGCCAGCGGCATGCTTCAGCTTGCCAACGCTGCCTGGTGCTCCTCCTTTGCCACTTGCCACGCGCTTATCCCAACGCCATCAAACGATGTCGACGGCAACAACAGCGACGCCAATGTCGTTAGAGTGAGGGTAGCGAAAAATTGGGAGAAGAGTTGTTGAGGCTAGGGTTGGAGCGGAATTTGGGTGGAGGATCAAAGGCAAGGGCAAGGGCTATGGCAGGGTATAGATTTTGGCAATGAAAACCTCATTAGAAACTCTCTTTTAGGTATTGCATTTACTCGTTATTATCAACCCAGGAAAGGGTATTGTTCAGTTCAATAACAAATTTGATCCTTTCCCCCTTTGCTGCTGCATTATGAGCAGTTATCGACGTTGGCGCTGCTCTCCGACCGCCGCCTGGCTGCTGCCTGGCTGCTTATTTGGCTCCTGCAGCTTAACCAGTCTCGACACACAGCCACAACACCGCCACGCAGCTAGGGATGGTCCAAACACCCACCCATCTGACGATGGTAAAGCATCCGCCAACCTCCCCCCTTACTAGCGTTGGTAAAGCAGCAGCCAGCCCACAACCCTCCAGCGGGGTTTTGTGTCGCAGCCAGCCAGCTGTGCCATCCTCCACATGTCTGTTGCTGTCACCTTGTAATTTTATTTATCTATTGATTATTGAGTATCTCTTTTTCTATTTATTTGCTTTTGTTTGCCCACGCAGCTACCCCTAAAGTCGGGCAGGCCACAAGCCCCCAACCCCTAGCCACTCTTTGGCATTTTTATTACACCAGAATCCTATCCTCTCTCTATCGTGTATGTGTGTATGTGTGTATGTGTGTATGTGTGTATGTGCCCCTGGCTGTTTTTTAATTAACTTTAGTGACAATATTTTGCACCAGCTGCATACCCTCAAATGCCCAACCCCAACCCCCAGCAGGCCCAACCCTGGCCCAGGCTGAGAGATAATCAAACTTTGTCCATTGTATGCAAATGTAGGCAAGTGATACTTGCTCTTGGTCCCGTTACCGTACCGTTTCGTGTGTTATAGGACACTCTCTCTGATCTGACCCCAATTGCTGTGACTGTTTCTCAGTCTTGTCAGTGTACGTCTGTGTGGGTCTGTTTGTCTCTGTCTCTCTTCTACAACTGACAGATGACAGCGAGCTCCCTCCCTTGAAATTTCGTAAAGATGTCACTTGTCCATTGGGTGCATTGTACCAACGACGAAACAACTGACTACAGATGCTACCCTACACTGGCTACATACGAGCCATATGTGCGAAGTCACATACCCACTTGGGGTGACACTTCCACTTCCACTCCCACTCCCCCAATCCCATTCCTATTCCCATTCACTTGTTGAGCGACTTTTTCCTTATCTTATCTCTGTGTCGTTTTTATACGTTTTTGCCTGCTTGCTTTATTGTGGTTTACTTTTCCATGCGTCGTTGTTACATATATAAATACATATATATGTCTGTAGATATTCCATATCTGTATATATGTAAGTATGGAATATGTATTTAAGATGGTATCCAAGTGCAAAGAGAAACTATCTGCAGTTGTGATGGGATAAACAGGTTTCTATACCTATATCCATATTGTAGTCAGAGAATGACTAACCAGAAGAAGAAATCTTCTGGTAACATGGGCACAGATAACACACAGTTACACTGCAAGTGAATATAAAGTATATTTAAAGCTAACTTCACGTTGTATAAAATAAATTATAACAGTTTTAGAAAGCTTTGGATAATCGAATCGAAATTTGACCTATAATTGTTTTATAACAGACGTATACAACTTTTATTACAGATAAGAGCGTAGAAGACTTCAAATACGAAATATTTGAAAACATCAGTAGCTTATCAATCTTTTTGTAACACAAATTAGAACAGTTTCAACAAAGTTTTTATAGCAGTTTGCAAAATTGAAACACTTTTAAGGGAAAATGTTTCATATCGGGACTATCCATGGCCTAAATAACATACATTATAAGAGTTTTTAAGTTTATTAGTTTCTGTTATTAATAACAGATTAAATCGGGTAAAAGTTCCACCTGCAGAATGAAAATATCATTTCAATTCATTCGTAACCGTGGTCTGTATTACAAAGTGTATAACAGTTTCTTCTTTCATTTTTTTTTTATGCATGTAAATACTCACACTAATATTCCCACTAATACTGAAACTATCCACTAGATGACCTTTTAATTTTCAGTACATTTTTGTTAACTTTTGACTTTTCACACCACAAATGGTCACAATATTTCCAATTATCTCGAGCTGTTATCAAGAACTTTTATCAGTATATTATGTATGTACACATATGTACATGCAAATGTATGTATTTAACAGGTAAATCAATCATAAAAAATCATTCACATGTCCTGCACTCGCGACTGCGTTTAATAAAGAAACGATGACGATAAAAGGAGAGACAACCGCACGTAGACGCCAATGGAGGGCAACTAACCCGTGCAGAGACCCAAAAATGTTGTATTCTGATTTCATAATTTCTCACAACAGCACCAGCAGCACCTCTCTCTATCGCTGTCTCTGTCTCTTGCTCACTGTTATCTGCTGCAGATAAGGGTTTCCACCGCTTATCGCATAATTGCTCACTGATTGCCGCCGTCAGGTAACAAAAATTCCCTGTCGCTCCCTGCTCTCTCCCTGTCACTCGTTTTTCCTGCTTACTTTTTTCGCTTTTTCTCTGCTTACTTTTTGATTTTTCTCTGCACAAATATTTTCTCTTGACGGAGAGTTTTTCTTCACGCTACCGTCGAGTCACAATAATACGAGAATGTCACTGTTTGGCTTTACTATCTGTAAAGCTGTACAGGTTGGATCGAGGCACTTTAATTGAAAATCTTATCGAGGCAATGCAGGGGAGGAGTAGGTGAAGAGTGCATCACCCAAAACTTCTTATCAAAACACATGACGAAACAGCGGAGTTGAACCGAGCCGCAGGCACTATTAAATAAAACAAAATTCAATGGGCAATGGCCATTGTCTGTTTTCTGTCCAACTTCGCGCTCGATATATCCGCACTATAATGCTCATAAATATAAACTAAACCCCGTGCGAGTGGCCGCACTGCATATATATCCTATATCCTGCACCTATGTATGTGTGCGCCATTACACAAATACCAGGGGGCAAAATGGAGAGACCCAGAGCTAGAGCCAGAGCCAGACCCAATGAGCATGCCACGTAGCCAAAGTATCGATGAGTTTCAAGTGGGTGACGTTGGGGAGGTCGTGTGACCGGAGCAGCCGCTACAGCAGAGCTACAGCCGTTCAACCTCTCAGCCAGCAGTGACCATAACAGACCAGAGCAGAACAGATACACACAGTACTATATACTGGACTATATACTATCGATATGTGTATATGTAAAAAGAAAAGAAAGGCCTGGCCTGGCCTTCTGGTTTGTTTGTCATTGTGCCATCAAATTATAATAAGCGACTATTTATTGGTAAAAGTGTGTCACTCTTTTGACTACATACGAGTATGTCCAAGAGCCTACAACGCGCTCTCTACATCTCTCTTTCTTTCCGTCACTCAAGCATTCGCTTTGTCCCTTTTTCACTTGCTTCTAAGGAGATAATTATATGGTGTATGTTGGGGTGGGGGAACCACATGCATTAAGCGGAATCGAACGGAAAAATCGAATATTCAATTACCTATTCCATTTCCTGGAATTATAATTTTTCTGTTTTATATTTTTACATTACATGATTATGTATGTCAATATGTTCATACATCTGTATGCACATATAACCCACATTATTGAGCATGTGGTATCAAAGACTGTGATTGCTTGCGTGTGGTTTGAAGGGGCTGGGGAGATGCAATTTGGGATGCATTTACTTGCTTATTAGAGTTAATCAAAGTAGTTATGGGATATATAAATTATAGGAAAGGATATAGAAAGAGATGCAGCAATCCGATATGTGTATGTATAAATGATATTAAAATGTATGTTAGATGTACAGCAGTTTGTATTACATGTTTCTTAGAATTATTGATAGTTTTTTACATTTGTCCTAGAATAATTACCAATTTTAGGAACATTTTTAAGTTTTTTATATATTTCTCATCTATTAAAATTAGCGAAAAATTTAAATTTTGTAAATGTACTTTGCACGAAACAACAAAAATTAAGTTGCAGGCCTCGATTAGTAGATTATCACTTCCCCATACTTAGAATTGGCAATTGGGGGTAACCAAATTCTTTTTTATAAATAAAAAAACTGTGATTTTATATTTAAATAGTTTTAACAGCAGATCAAATGTGCACACGGTAAAAGCTTTAACTAAATTGTCGCTGTAGGTAAATGCTGCAACTAACTTGTAGCTGAAGTTGCCGCTTTTATCATATATTCATTTTCATTCAATAGATTAGCAAAAGTTTCTAATACGGGAGTTCGCTACAACAGCCAGCCTGATGTGTTTGCCGTGCCATATGTCGCACTCACAATTCGTTTTTCCTGCCATAATCAGTGTTCCTCTATCTAAAACAAAATAGAGGCACGTTTACAGCTGCCACTTCAACTCAGTTTGATTAGCATATGCAGACAGTTTGATAGCACTGATAAAAATATACCTAAAGCTGGATCCAAGACCATCACAACTGTTGTACTGTACTGTTGTCCTAAAATGATATTCACACTGCGGTCGCGACATAAATAAGCCCTCGCAGAGCACTCCCAGCGCACTCCCAACGCACTTTTCCCACTTTCAACTCTGTCCGCGACAAACCCCTCGACATTCTGATACCAATCTCCTTATCGGTAGCGTCTGCAGCTAACTGTTGACCGATATATCTAATCTGTTAAATCTTATATGGCATAATTACTCCGCACTTCCTTCCAATTGCGACACGGCAGTCGTGCAGCCTCAAACACAGTCAGCTCACAGGTACAGTTGCTAAATCAAGTAAACGGCCGCCATACACAAATTTTAGCTACCAATGGTTAGCAAGGATACAATGTGTGCCCTGTGTGTGTATCCTCATTCATGGCTCTTTCTGTAACCCTTTTTGTTGCCTTCGATTGGTTTTTTTCCGCCCATTCTCCATATCTCTCTCTCTCTCTCTTTGTCTGCGGATCAATGTTTAATTGGTTTTGTTCAGCTGTTATAGTCACGATTCGGCTGGGTCTGGGTCTGTTTGGTCTGATTTTTCCCTGGGGTAGATTCTGTTGGTTAAGCAGAAAATGTTATTTAATAATTTATGACTCACCAGGCATGAGGCAAGAACTCTCTAGAAGAGCTTCAAATGAAGTATAAATGTTAAATTGGTTGAAGCCTTAAGCTCATATTGCAGCCCATTCCCTTACCTTCTTCAAACCCTTCAGTTCCAATAATATTATTAGAACCTCAAGACTAGAAAATCGAAGTTGTGGCAGCCGCAGAAATGCGGTTGGAAATGCAACAAAAGCCAAAACACATTTTAGTGGTTGAATAACGACAACAGCAGAAGCCAAGGAAGACACAAGGCACAGGAAGGACGTCGGGGAAGCCAAAAGGACACTCAGACAACTACTAATAAAGACAGGTAAACAACAAAAGTGTGCAGGTGGACATAGAGCAGACCAGAAAGCCATCGACCGAGCCGAGCCACCAACTGAGGGTGAAAGTCGCAAGGAAGCAGCACAAATAATATAAATTAAATGTGTAGAAGGCAACGCCCCAACGCCCAAACCCCCTGTCCACCCACTCAAAAGAACGGCAAAGCTGAGTAATTATTTCCGGCAGACCTGACCGAGAGAAGAGCGAGATCGAGAGTGGAGAGGGAGGTCCTTTGCGGTCGGCCTGCAACACATGGCCGGACACTTAAACCCAAAAGGAGAAGTGGTGGGGACTGCGTCTGGAAAATTTATCTGGGCAATAATTTCGGTTGACATGCCTGCGGTAATTATTGACCGTAATGACAAAACCGTATCCGAAAACGGCAAAAGGAAGCTTCAACCCAAGACAAACCTCAGAGCCTCCGGCTCCCCACCCAACTCAAAGTGCTGACAAATTGCTTTAGTTTTTGGTGTCATCTGTGTGTGTATTTTCATTCTCTAATTGGATATCATTTTATTGACCGGTACAGGCTGATCCACAGCTCCTGCCACGCGTGTTACCCAAAAACAAATAAAAATTGTCAATGCCCCACAAAAACTCATAAACTAAATCCGAAGCATATTTCCATGTAGTTTTTCCTCACTTTTCTTCTGATTTGATTTTGCATTTAATGTGCGTTGCGTCCAGACAAGATTTATGAGCCTCAGGCATAAATATATTTAGATATTAATGGAACGTAGCTGTCGATGATGTCGCTGCCTGCACAACGCCCCATAAGTTTGTCCAAAAACTAATTAATAATATTTCTAGATTTTCTATATTTTGTATACTTTCTATAGGTATATCTTTGGACTCTCTGCGCGTATCTATAAATTTCCGAATTTTGATGCTTTTTTGCTAAATTTGTTTCAATGTCGACTATTTTTGGTGCCGGCATTTTGCACATGTTCGACATTCAGTGCGTGGATCATAAATATTATCGAATGTGCTAGGCAACCATTGAAATGCTGTAAATCCAAAGTTTATCTGCATAGTGCTGCGACTTACAATTGGTGGACTTACAAGTTATGTGAGAGTAAAATGATGTCTTTTGTGTGACAAATTGCGCGAACGAGTGCCGCTGAGGTTAATGATCGTAATAATAGTCGTGGCTGCGGGGGGCACACACAGAGATGACTCTGATGCGTGGTGAATCGCGTGAGTTGAGCGACAAATAAATTCACTTGATGGGTGAAGTGCGAGGTCAAATCTTTAAGTTGACAAAGGAGACGCACTTGTAGAGGCACCGAAGGCACTGCGATAGAACGCACGTACATAAATACATACACACATAAATAAATGTATGTAAAATAAAAGCGAATTATTGCCGCACTTTTGTAACACCTTTTTATATTTACTCTTATCTATTTATTTTTTTTTTAATAAATCAAATTCCATCTTTAAACTTTTTCACTTTTTCCTAAACATTTTCATAACATTTTTTATTTATTTTTACTGTCTAAAATTTCCGCACATTGCATGTGACATGATTTCCAAAAAAACTGCACTGGGCACACCATAAATTTGCTTGCGTGTATTTTACATATAAGAATATTGCACTGTATAGCTGGGGCTTTGCTTTGCTTTCTTTTGAAAATGCGAGTGGGCGACCACGACGACAACGTTGCCACAGAGCGGGAGGGAGCGTACCGGAGAGCGTGGCAGAGTTTTTTCTCATGTGCAGGGGGCACTACGACTACGTCCACGTTCACGTCCAAGATGGAACTGCCGGCAGCGATCCGCACTGATCGACCTGACAGTCCATGTCCATGGAGTCGCCCAGCGCCCCTACTGGCTGGCTGGCTGCGCTGTCGCTGTCGTCTTTATTTCTGCCGAAATATAAATTATATAAATAATATTTGGAAATATAAAAGC